GAGAAAAATGAAAGACAACTGTGCAGCAGGCTTTCTCCCCAGTGTATAGGCAAAATATAGCAGCACTATTGTATTGTCTAGCTCTGCTGCTGGGGCCTGACAGGCCCTTTAATGCTGTAGAGCCGTCTGTAAGAGGCTGTCATCAAAAGAAAAGCACAGGGGACCAGAGGACGGTCGGTCAGGGCCCGGCCACTGTGCGGGGACACAACCAACTGGAGCACCTGGAGCTCAGAGCGGGCACACAAAAGACGCACACACCGATGCTGACGCACAAACACAGCTACACACACGTGAGATGACCATGTGGCGGCACACACGAACCTCTTTTTTAGTGTATTTGCTTGCACATGAGCAAGCAATGATAATCTGAGTGCACATGAATGCTCACATGCTGCACACATAACCAGTAAGAATGTGTGTAATATCACCAAAAACCTGACAGCAGTGGTCAGTTGTTAAATGCAGTTAAAGCAGCAGCTGTGTGGTGGTGACCTCACGGGGTTGTGTTAGTAAATGCATAAAAACAGTGCAAAGACAACGAATAATAGTGGTAACCAGGAACTTGGACTTGAGACGCTTGTTGAAGAGGAGCGGCAACTTTCAGGGTTGAAAAATGAAGCCAGCACAGGGGTTTCAAAAACTGCAGTTCCTTCTAGTGGCCACTTGAGGGTGTCTGTGATGAAAATCAATCCAAATATACTTCCATGATATAATGTCAAACTTCACAGCGCAACATAAACACATTTACAGCCTGACGCTAAAAGTGGTTTTGGCCTTTATGAGTAATTTCCACCTTCGTGACAGCTGTACATAACATGGAAGTTTTACATGACTCAGTAATTTAAAGTGTACGAAAGCTTAAAATTGTTTAGGGTGGGGCCTCTTTGAGTGACAGACAAGTCCTGAGTAGTCTAGTTTAGTGCCTAGTTTGGTTCAGCTATCCAGATTCTCTAATAAGTTCATTGTAATTTAAGTCTGTCTTTAGCTAAACAACATTAGCATCCCACTGATTTCCATTGCTGAGCAGATTCTGTAGGGGTACTGTGCAAGTGAAGCAGCACTTTTGTCCATATAGTGTGTCCTGGATCCTCTTTGGGCACTAAGTTCTACACTAAACTTGTGCAACCGTTTAATAACAACCACAACTTCTGAGCAAAACACAATTTTTCTGCTGATTATTTTTTTTGGAGCAAAAAAGCATGAATTTTCTGAACTGTATAACTGAAAGTAAATCATTACCCAGCTTCTTGAAACAGTGTTGTGCTCGCTTTCAAAGGCAACTGTATTCACGACTGATTTTCTGGTGAAGGTCATATAAGAGACAACGACAGTCTGCCACAGATTTACGAGTAACTGTTGGGATATTGAGCAAGACGTGAAAGACAGTAAATCCCGCTTGTGCGACTGCGCATCGCTGCAGCTTCAACAGTTATAATTACAACCATTCTCAGATCGATATATCTGTCAGTGTCTGACAGCTGGCTTCCCGTAGGAGCAGATTCTCTCTCGTAAGTGAAAAACCCAACGTTCACTATAACCAACTCACCTAAATCTCTCTGCTGAACAACACTACCTGCCCACAAATTGAAATTTTGCGTATTCACCGCAGCACCAGTGAACACCGTGACCTCGATATTTTCGGAAGTGTGTTTGTGTGCCTGTTTTGGGTGGTAGCTGTTGTGGCGACAGTATAATGTATGCAAAGCTCCGAAGCCGAGTTTCGGCTGTTGAAAGCCAATAAGGCGGTATCAAAACGAGGGCAGAGTTAATTAATCATCTCGGCTTCCTTTTCATGGCCCTCCCGTGACTGTCCCGGGGGCTCGTGTGTGTGTGTGTGTGAGGCAGCAAAAGCAAGGCAGGGAGGCAGGAGGGTGGTGCAGGTTGCAGCTGGGGGTTATTAGCATAAAGTAATGTGAGCCAGTAGACTGCTGAGCTCCTGTAAGCCTGCTGCAAACCTCCAAGGACAAAACAGGAAACTAATGACACCAGATTTATTCACTGACCACGGGGAAAGATAATTAAAAGACAGTAGATGACGCTGCGATTTAAAATCATTTACCAACTACGCTTCTTATGACATTTTTTAAAAACACCACATCAGCTCTTCGGGATGCCGTAACCAGCGCATTTGAAAAGTCACAGTGGTGGTTTTACTGATTTTGTGTGACGAGAAACGATGCCTGCCATCAATCATCATCACCATCAAACTGTGACTCTGGATGCCGCTGCTAATTAAACATCATACGGGAAAAGCAAAATGTTTTCCCAAAGATTTCATACATTTATATTGTTTTGTTTTCTGAGCTCTTCCTCGAGCCGTCTCGCCGCCACCCATAATTAGTTTTAATGTTTTGCAGCTGCGAGCAGCTCATCTCTGTCTCTCGGTGCAGTGCGATGTGGCAGCTCAGCTCCATCAAAACACAAAGGTCACGTCCAGGCTCACACCCTCGTTTATTCAGTCAGTAGTTCGCTCACTGCCGAGGCACAGGTGTGCTATCGCACAGCTGCTTTTAGGATGCAACAATTGGGACGTGTTGCTTTTTGGCTAAATGCTAATAACCTGCTGTTTAGCACCAAATCACAACAACAGTCACCTTGAGTCGCATTACGTTACACTATAAAGAACTTACAATAACACAGAGAGAAGAACACTAATAAAAGTGTATGGCTGTAATGTTCTGCAGAAATAATTTCTTTAAAACTGCCTCAATCAGTATTTTTTCAGTTCCCACCCTCACCCCTAGAAATAAGCTAGGTCACTAGCTTTGGTTTGGGAAAGGCCTCATCGTGATACTTGTGAGAGGAGCTGACAACCAGAGAAAAAGGGGGAGGGAGGTTGGGGTATAAAAACAAGAGTAAATGTGTAACTGATGCAAGTAGGCATTTATGACCAGAAGGGGAGTGTTTGGGGTGTGTTCCAGCTCCTGAAATTCAGATAAATGACCTCCAATATATAAGCCATGAAATGCAAAAAACTACTTGTATTAGCACGCTTGGTTTTAAACCATTAGCAAGTCACAGTTTTCAACATAATAGCTGCTTCCAGCAAGTCTTTCCATCTTGCATAATACTAAAAAAAATGGAAACGATTAAGGGAACTGATACGGTACGCTTATTATGGTCCGCCTGGGATTATGTAATGGATGAAAACATGCAAAATGAGATGGATATTGAGTACAGAAAGGATCTTTTTGTCCTTTGTTATATCTTTATTTTCATTATGGCCACAGGGAGAGCTTTTATTTTGGCAGCACAGTCATTGCCAGCTGAGGAGAATAAAGAAAAGGGAGAAAAAAAAGCACTCCTGGTCTTTTAAGGTGCTTCGCAAGCAAACGGAGCGCAAAAACTCAGCATTTGCTCTCGGCCTCAGAGCGCCTAATGCTTTCATTCAATTGACAGTAAAAGCAACGTTAACGGGGAAGAGTCGCTCGTGGCCCTGACACAGCTTTATTTTGATTTAGGCTTTAAGTACATCGTCAGTATTGAAACTGCGGTGCTGAAATACTGAGCGCTATAATGCAAACATTGATGCCGCGTTGCATAACGGCCAAGAAGAAAAAGAAAAAGCAGGACGTATTCTGCAAAATAAAAGTCTTTCAGGCTGGAAAAAGACTCGTGGGACTGAGTGTGCGTGTGCGTATGTTTGTATGTACATGTGTGGAGGTTTGGGATTGTTGAGGGGGGGATTTCTAAAAGGAGCACAGGGAGAGATCTGGGCAAGGAAGAGTGAGAGAGTGAAATAGGATGGAAAAATGCAATCATGCATCGCGGCCCTCTCCAGCTCGTCGTGTGTTGCTTCCCCCTCCTTCCCCTCCACGAGCCATTAGTCACTATCCAGCTCCTGTTAATGTAATTAGATAAAGGATATATGGAGTCTCGGAGCTCAGCGGAGACATTTGTCTGCATAATTGTGTCCGAGCAGTGGCCGAGGCTAAGAACCCCTGGATTTCCACAAAACACCTCTGGCTTACTAACCCAGAAAAGGAATTTACAGAAGGACAGAGAGAATGAAAGAAATAGACGGGTAAAGATTAAAAATCCTCTCTAAAGTAATCTGTTTTTTACAAAATATCTGTTGTTGTGTTCCCTGTTTTCCTGCCAATCCAATAAGCACTGCATGTCTTCCATTTCAAAACGTATAAACCCATCCGAGAGTACAGAGAGTCGAGCATCAAAGAGTTGTCATATCTGAAAGGCATCCTCCAACAAAAGGTGGTGTATTTTTAGATCTCCTGTTGCCAGAAGAAGTTCAAATGCTGGATTCTCCTCCCCAAAATGCAAACCCATCACCACATCCTACTAATAAACTGTCACATGTTGCGATCCATCTCAACCACATGGGGTAAATAAGTACAGATGGCAGCAGGTCCCCTGACTCAGACCTTCTGGAGGGGTATCAGAAATGTAAAACAATCTCAATTCTCGCATCTAATTAGTAGTAGTCATAGCTTGCCAGCGAGTGACCTACATATGAAACACGTAAAGTGTTGGAGATGCATGACGCGCTGCCGAGGACTCCGGCATTCCCGTGCACTTTGCGAGGCTTGGACATGCACACAGTGAAAAGCAAAGAGAGGCTCAAAACACTCTGATTCCTCTTTTTGATTAATCGTCGACAGTCCAACAGAGAGCATCCTTAGAGAGCCACATACATTTAAAAGTAGTCAACAAACAGCCACTTTAGCCGAAGACCAAAGATGCAAATACAAAACGCACATTCCAGATTTGAACTACTACTTCCCTTTGCTCTCTGCTTGGCTTTAACATTTCCTCCATCAACATCTCTCACTCCTCCCTCCTGAAATTCTTACCCAGGGCAATTCCTGCCTCCTGTCTGGGGCACAAGCAACATAGTTGGGTTTGGAGGGCAGGATGTTAGCCTGATTATCACCCAGTCAGACCTACATCCAGCTCCAGACAGCCTTCCTCTTGCCCCAGATACCTCCTTTGCTTGCGGAGGGTTGGAAAGGGGGGGGGTGAACGTATGGACCGGCACTCACCGCGAGGAGCTCCAGCAGGGGGATGCTTCGGATCCTCCCGCTGACCGACACAACGCCGTGGTCCACGAACTGGCTCATCCTGCGCTCGCTGTCTCTCGTGTGCTCGCTTCCTCTTCTTCCGCTTGGTTCCACACTTCTGCCCTAGCTGAGTCTCAGCTGCTGCCTGCCACTGGGTGTATGTGTGCGTTTGCATTCAGCGGTGTGTGCGCGCGCACGTTTGTGTATGTGTGTGTGTTGGAATGATGATGCAGCAGGCAGTCGTGCAGCCCTGGCAGCAAAGTGCCTCTTCTGAGTTCTCTCCTCGGCGAGGCCACACCGGCATTTTGTCAATATTTAACCAGCAAAGTCAGGCTGGATTAAATCACCTGGGCAAGACCTACAGCGCATAGTTACCCAGGAGACTGTGTGTGCACTCATGTTTACATGTTTGTGGCTGAAGCAGTGAATTGCTGGTGTTTGTGAGTGCGTGTGAAGACATAAAACATTAACTCATGTCACACAGAGGAGTCTGATTCAGACTCTGAGTTGGCGGTTTTGCCCGTTTTTGGCGACTCCAGCTTCAGACCAGAAACTCACACTTCTGCCACTTCAGTATTACCACTGCTGTTACCACCGCTGGCAACAATCTTAGGCCATGTAAGTGTAAAGAAGCTAATGAAGCACCTCTCTGACTTTCGCCTAACGACTGTTTCTCAGCATCACAGCTCTTATGACTTGTGAACTCTTGCAGGAAACTAATTTGTGCCGATCTGCAGACATTTTACTTGGAAGACATGTAAGCGGAAGGTCAGAGGACAGATCCTGTCTTTATAAACCACTTGTTTTTATCTACCTTAATTAACAAGGAGCAAAAGTTTTGGTACTTTGAAGCTTTCTGGGGACTATTTGCAATTTACTGCCTATTGACTCAACACATTCGCTGAGAATTTATTTGCATGCAGGTAAAGCAACAGCCTTGAGAGCAGCTGAAAGCAGACACAAGCTGACATGCAATCTCAAACTGGCTGGCCATTGTTTTATTACCTTTTGTAATTTATCTGCATTCAAATACAATAACCGGAACAGGAAGTCTTGGCCTGGATTTCCGTTGGCTACAGTGCAAATCCTAATATATTGGCTACTGTCTCCATATTGATTTAAACACAGCAGTAATCTTCGTTATTTAGCCACAATATTAGATGATAAGGACACTGGTCAGAGGCAACATTTGAACATCTGCATTTTTAGTACAGTTGCCCTGATAAAGCCCATTCACTGTGGTCACATGCTTAAAAAACAGTTACTTAAATGTAGTTTGGACCCTGGAAAAGTATTCTAGACCTTCGTTTCCAAGGTACGTGACAATCTACAGCTCAAGCTGCCAAGGAAGATCACGTGATCGCATCAAAAGGTTCCACAACAGCCTCTAAACTGACCTCTGGGTTAGATCGCTTTCCGTTGTTTTCAAGATCCCGAGTCAGCTTCTGCCACCTCCGCTGACCAGTTTCCTGAGTGACATGCTGAGAATGAACTTCAAATGTCAAGATGGGGCTTTGGATTTACTCACAGTGGTTTGGTCAAGTAGGCCACACAATAGATAATGGCAGTTCTCTCATTCAGAGTGTAAAAATGTGGAAGTGGTTTTGGGGGAACTTCTACATTTCTTCCTAAAGTGTACACCGAGAGTAGTTTATTTTTGCATGCCTGATTGATGTAGTTCCTATCTGGTCTGTAGGAAGTTTCAGTATGATTCTCAAACTTTAACCATTTAATGGTGTCAACTACAAAAACGTTGACCACTGAGTCTTTGTCCTTTTTGGAAAAGTTGTTAGAAATTGAGGGGTGTAAAAGTTTGGACTTCTGGGTATGAAAACCAGGAAATTATTATTAAGTAGAGCCGACCGATATATAAGTGGATATATTAGCAATTTGACACTATCAGTGTCTGCATTTATGCAAAGCAAAGAAGAGACCGTGTTGGTGCTACATTGCCCATAAGAGAGCACTCTGCAACTTTTATGTTCACACATGCTTGAAAACACCACGAACACAACAAAAATCTAATCTAAGAAGATTTCCGTAGAACATAACGGAGTAATCCTTGGCTTGTTGTCACAATAAAGCAAAAAGGTATTTTTTAACTATACTCTCGTTTTATCTTAGCAAGGACTCATAAATAACTACACATAACAACTTTTGGGGAATTCTTGATTGGTTTTGTTTGTCTGAAAGAAAAAAAATATCTGTTGATCTGCTAGATTGGCTTTAAATCAGCAAAAATCTGTATCTGTCTTAAAAGTCCTATATCAATCAGATTCTACTCTTAAGTAGACAGTTCACATACTTACTATAAATCTTGCACCAAGGATTGAACTCATAAGATCAGCCAGGCTTCAATATTTCAACCAGCAGTGAAACTATATAACGTATATACCACAGACCATATATATAAAAGAAAAACATTGCTACCTTGACATCACCCACTGGCTGGCAGATCTCAATTTAGCCTTTTTGATGTTCACAATCTTTTGGGTGGGGTTTGGAGCCAGAAGTTATCACTTGTGTACAAACGTGTACAGTGTTGAGTTATAAGTTAATGCTGCCAAGCTTTGTTAACAAGCAGCAATCATTTTGACTATATATTTAAAAAAAATCTGGTGTTCAGTGACTCTAGGATTTATATAAAAATTCACCTCTTGTACAACAGCCATAAAGGGGGAAATGAACTACAGACACCAAAATGTTTTTGTACCAGGCTAAAAACTTGTTTATTTCTGCCTTAACATTTGGCTTTTCAACATTAGAGCCTATGGGGGCTGACTCACTTCTGGAGCCAGAGGAACTGCAGTCTTTGGCACTTCCGAGCTGACTTTAATTTTCAGCCCTGGCAGTTGCTGCTTGGTATAAATTACATGATCTAGAAGCTCCAGTGGGACTATTTCAGAGGAGTTTTTCCACTGACATCTCCTAAAATGACATAGTTACATTTTGCAAATGTATAAATCACCAAAAAAAAAAGCATACATGTGCAGTTTTACAGCTGGCATAGCAGCAAACCATGAATATGAGTCCTGCTCCTGCTGACCTATATAAGCTATGCTTTTTTTTCCAATAGAGAATAAAGCTCATGACCTTAAGCTATCACTGTGATTGATGGGAGATGAGTGGCAGGTGGTGCTCCTGTTCAAACGAAGATTACAAACTCATCAGTCATCAGACGCCTGGGCGAGCTTCGCAGAGGAATTTATGACATCTGACAGAATCTTCACACTGGCCAGGTTTTATGGAGCAAACAGAGGTGATGCAGGTGCAAAATCATTGCCCTGCCCAAAAGCATTCCTGCAGATGAGTAACCGCTTACCATCAAAGCAGTTTTCATTTGGTAATGGAACTTTAATTAAATAGAAAAGTACTTTGAATTCTATTGTGGTTTTACTGTTGGTTTAGAGATGAGTTATTTGACTGACGCCAGTGCTGCCAGTCATCTGTTCATTGAACCAGTGTGAGCCATTACACAATACAAAGCTATGCAGAACACATAATGAACATTTTATCACTTAAATGAGGATCCATGTCTCTATAATAAAGACAGAGATTTTCATAATGCATCCTTTGGCAATTTAGGGATGCTTCATTTGTCAGTGAAAAGGCATCATGACACTAATGCCCATATAATGGTTTTGGTCTGGAATGGTCCGAAAATTTAATCTGGATGGGAATGACTGAATGTTTTAGTAATAGATCTTTAGCAAATGAGACAGTCCATTTGTCAAAGCTGCAATGAGATTAATGGTGAAATAACATAAATATAATATTATAAATTAAGGCCAATTATTGTGTTTGGAATGGCCATAAGACAGCAGTGAGGTAGGAATTACTAAATAATTTACATAATTTATCAAGTTGGAAACTATTTGCAAATTACAAGGTAGTCAAATTCCAAAGCGTGTGCATCATGTATGAAACCAATGAAGAAAAATCAACCAGCCCCCAACACTTTCAGTTTTCACCTTTAACCCTTTTCTCCAGGTGCGAGGAAGCTCTGTAGGAACTCACCCGACAAGCCAGACCAGTAAAGGTGCGACAGAGCGCCCAGGAAGGCAGAGGGTAAGTGATTCAGAGGTCATTGTGGCCCTCACGACCACCAACCAATGCAAAGAGCAACTGCAAACTAAGATCAGAAGCAGAAATTCACTAGTTTTCAATGTTTTTAAGACAATAAATGGAAGATTAATGAACAGTAAAAATAACTGCTGGCTACAGCCCCTATTGAAGGATCAAGCAACAACTCTTTGTCTCCGACTAATGAATTTTACTACTAAATATGCACCAGCTATTCATATACTATTTTATCAATATGTTTTTCATCTGTGAGATGACCATGAGCCAGCATTTTCTGATAGATTCAATCAAACATAAACACTATAATCCATCCAGGAAAGATAAACTTTATCTTTCCTGCATCTGGGTATAGAGAGTGAAGACCTGCTTTCCTCTCGTGGCACCTTGCTACTGGATCACTGCGGTATCCTATCTATTCCCTATGCTATACACAGTGGTGTTTTTCTGCAGGTTAATCTCATAGTTTAATAGATCCGTTTTGTAGCACATTAGAAGCACATTATCTGCTGACTCAACTTCAACTTATATTTATACTATTCACTCACGTGTGTCGTTAGGGATATGCTAGCTGAGCATAGCTACCTTACCTCTTGGCCAAATCACTACTAGCATATCTTCCTAAGTGTCAAGTGTTTAGTTATTCCTCAGGCTCCTTTAGTAACAATGACATGTGTAAAAAATGTAGCCTGTTCATAGCTTTGGAGACCAGGTTCAGACCCAGCTCCACAGCTTTAAAAATCCTGTAGCTAGCCAGATCCCTGTAGTCAGTGCAGGCAAAGATAGCTTAGCCCGAGGATTGCATTTCATTATTAGTAATTAGAAACTTCAGGCTCTCTTTGCTTACTTCTCACCCCCAATAGGCTGCAGCAGATGGCCATCCCATCTTAAGCCTGGTTCTGGCAGAGGAGTCTTTCTGTTCCCGTTAAAAGGGAGCTTTTCCTTCCCACTGTCGCCAAGCGCTTACTCATAGGGGGTGGTCTGATTGTTGGTTCACTGCCTTAAAATATAGGTATGCAGAGTTATATATTTATACCAATCTATTTATGAATATACAAAGAGAATTAATCATAGGAGATGGTTCGTTTTTGACATTACCTATATTTACTGCTTTTGTATTAACGTTTGTGTCCCAGTACCACGGTGGTCACACATTGGCCTTAACTTATATACGAGTGAGTAGCATTAGCAATCTATAGCCAAAAGTCAGTGTTGTTTATGTTTTTTAGCAAAATTGAAAGGAAGTATACCACTTTGTCTCGTGTGAGTGAAGATTTAACCCTCCTGTTATGTTGCGGGTCCGATTGACCCAGAACAGAAGAGATGTCACATGTCATCTGCATCGCTACAGAAAACGAAAAAAATCTAAATTATAAAAGAAAATTGTAAAATAATCAGTGCCAGTGTTTCTGACACTTTTGGATGAGTAAATTTGCCCTGGGTCAAATTAAACCAGGACCATAATTGGTGTTCCTGGAAACCAACATAACAGGAGGGTTAAGATTGGGTGGGCCCTGTGGAATTTTCTGGTTTTTAAGTGGGCCGCAGCTCTCTTAACTGTTCATTTTAAGAAACTGCGGTCTCTTGTGAAATAAATTAGAAGATAAAGCAGGGTACACTTTTGGGCGGGGCTATTTGTGTTTGAATTCTTATCATTTAAGTCTCAAGTTCTCGAAAGTGAGTCAGACACACACCTCACCTGTGAAATCTGGTCTCAAAGGACAAATATGTTGACAGCTGTTTTCTCTTGCACTTTTTCAAGGCGTGTCACACCTACAAACAAGGTTTCCTTTGGAACTGGTTAGTGACACACTATCTTAGGCCGACCGTAACATGTGTCATCATGAGCTTCAATCCTTATCTCTTAATCCAACCAGCAAAGTGAAAACTGAAGCAGAAATCTACAAGTTAAAACAACATGAGTCAGAAAATGCCAAAAAACAAGTGAAAAAAACACTAACAGGATGCAAACCATGATCTCCTATCAGATAAATCTGTGGCTAAAATGGGACCTCTGTCTCTGAACAGACTACACTGTGGCAACAACAAGCCAGCTCCCCACATTTAAAGCCCTGGTCTTGGGAAACCGTGCATGAAAGAGCCCTCTCAGAGCCCAGCTGAGGGTTTGGCTCAGCGTCCGATGAGGAGGATGTGATCACAGGGCGGCCTCTGTGCGGAAGAATAGCCAGGACGCACCACCTTCTGCCTCCCACACCCACACCCAGTCTGCCAGGAGGCTATACAAGGAGCTTGTCCCCCCGACCCCCACCCCAGCTGCAAGGTGAGGAGGTGGGTTTCCTCTCTGCTGACAGATGCAGCCCCTCCTCAGCCTCCTCTCACTGGGCTCTTAATCTGCACGTCCAATCCTGTTAGCCGCCCTCTGTCAGTTTCAAACCCAAACCTGCAGCACCAGTTTGATCCAAATATGGTGCCTCATCTGCATACGATAAACAAACATCCCTGGAGATGGATCTTCCATGCCAGGTGGACGAGGTTAACATCGTGGGTTAAGCCCTTCTGCCTGGCTCATGTTTCAAGTTTGTCTGCTTCTGAGAAAAGAGTATGCATGTTGGGAGCCATGCAGTAGACACTCTTTAAGCTATATACAAAAAAACATATCAGAGAAAAGGCTTATAGGTCCGTAACAGTTCTTGCTATTCAAAATTTAAAATGACTGGACCCAACAGGAGCCAGCTTTCCTTTGATGATTTCAAACATGACTTCAGTTTTTTGAAATATAAATCCATTTTCATTTTGTGGGCTTGTAAAAGTCAGACGTTCATAGAGGATGAATATGGTGAGACACGCTGAAATCAAAGCTGCCGCAAGTTCACTGCATTTAATAACATTTCTCCACAGTAAAATTATAATTTTTTCAAAAGACCAAATTTATATGGACTACACTTTAAGTTACTAGTTCCTGGTTGCTTAGTGATGTAGTTTCCCTCCTTGAATAAGCAATGGAAATAATGGCTCTGCTTATTAGATGGCAAGGATCTGTTAACTGGTTTTTTTTTCAATCCTTGACTAAACTGGATAAAACCCATTGAGATGAAAATGTCAACACAAATGCTGCCTTTCAAGTCATCTACTTGTATTACTGACTCCCTATTTCAATAGAAAAAAATAAATTAGCTTAAAACCTACACCAGCTTTGTATAAAATTCCACTGGACTCTCTTAATTCTTCATGGAATAGATTCAAAAAGGTGCCAGAAACAGACTTTGGTCCATGTTGGCATGACAGCACATCAACTGCTACAAATTTACACATCCATGACCAGAATCTCCCCTTCCACAAACAGAATTGGCCTAATGGATAAGACACTGGTCTCCTAAGCCATGGATTGTGAGTTAGGGTCCCCTCTGGGGAGATTTCCAGCAGAGTGGCACAGTGGGATCAAATTCATCTTCTGCTAGGATAGGACTTTTGGATAGCTGGCCTTAGAAGTTATTGTTGGAAGAAAACAGCTCATCATCATTTCTAGTACCTTGTTGGATTCCCATTTTGTCTTCAGAACTGCTTTAGTTCCTAATGGCAAAGATTTAACAAGGTGCTGGAAACATTCCTCTGAGATTTTAGTCCATGTTGACATGACAGCATCACATAGTTGCTGCGAGAATCTATTGGACTGAGATCTGGTGACTGTGGAGGCCATTTGAGTGGACTCATTGTCATGTTCATGACTCAAGTTGCTGTTGGAAGACGCCGTCAGAAGATGAGTACAAAGTGGCTGCACAGTGGACAACAATACTGAGGTAGCCTGTAGTGTTTAAACAATGCTCAGTTGGTACTAAGGGGCCCAAAGTGTACCAAGAAAATATCCCCCACACCAGTCTGATACTATTATCTTAATGTTGCTACAGAAATCAAGACCAGGTGAGGTTTTACCTATCTTGTCCTATTTTGGTGAGCCTGTGCAAATTGTAGCCTCAGTTTTAAAGCACCTGGTGTGGTCTTCTGTTGCTGTCAAGGTGCTCTTCTGCATAGCTTAGTCATAACAAGTGATTATTTATGTGACTGCTGCCTTCCCAAAACAGTATGGCCAGCAGATTTTCTCCCAGAAAACTAACTGGATATTTTCTCCTTTTTTTGGACCAATCTCTGTAAACCCTAGAAATTGGTGTGTGGGAAAATCCCTGCAGTTTCTGAAGTACACAGAACAGCCCATCTGACACCAACAACAATCCCACGTTTAAAGCGACTTAAATCACCTTTCTTCTCCACTGGCTCACTCATTCTGATGATTGGTTTGAAAATCTCTAAGCCACCTTGACCATGCCGGCATGCCTAAATGAATGGAGTTGCTGCCATTGATTCGATTTCTGCATTAACAGGTATACCTAACAAAGAGGTTGCTAAGCTTATATATTTTGAATACATATGTTATTTTACTGGATTCTTGTTTCATAAATAAATGGGGATATATGATTCAAGTTTCAAGCTTTGGTTGTACAAGCACAATTTGTGAGACTTAAAAAAATATAGATATGATTTTTACAAAAAAGACTAAATGTTGCATGACCAGGAAAAGCATAACTCCTTCAGGAAAGCTGTGAACATCTGATCTGGTCACACTTTTAAGTGTGGTATAAGGCATAACAGTGGCACAATCAAAGCCTTATGTGCAGTGAGACTGAAACAAATAATGTTTTCACCATCAATCTCCTTGAATAACTAATAATTTACTCCTAAAATGTGTGACTTGCTTATCTTGATAAACTTCCACTTGAGTCCAGAGTAAATTTGTGGACACAACGAGTGGTTTAACGTGTTTGATTGTGTGGGCAGATAACGCTGGCTGATAGAGAGGAGACTGTCCTTTCTTTGTCTGTGCAGACTTCAGGCCTCTCAAAAGACCTCTGTTTTTCTGGCACTGGGCTCCAAAGAGGGGAAACCACAGGCTGAATAGAGATTGGTGCAAAGCGCTAATGTTTGGGGAACAACGCATGTGACTCTGACAGCACGCGGCCCCGCTATCAACTTTGATCTCACTCATGATTGGAAGAGGAGAGCTCATAATTGGCCCCTCAACTCAAAGGACACAAAGGATGGTCTCATTGGACGATGGATAATGGACGTCCAATTACAAGGGCTGGCAGTGGGCCCTGGGCAAGAGGGGATGCACACAGAGCAGAAAACTCACTGTCACTACAAAGTAAAAACACTCTTTAATCAAACTGGAATGAACCCAAAAGCTTCCTCTTTTATTTTCCGACTGATTATTAAAGCGCCTTTGATTGTGCGATGAGCTATAAACCTTGAAGATAGCGCTGTTTACAATGTGGACCTAGGTTCAGCAGGCAAACTGCACGCAACTTGGGACACGGCTCAGAGATTTCAGTAAGGGGGCACTTGAGAGGTTTTCATGCCAAGCTGAGAATAAGCAGGTCATTTAGAAAGCCTGGTTCATTATCACCCAAAGCAAAACTAGGTTATCTTTTGTTGCTCACCTGAAATAAATCTCTAAACTGTACTTGAACCTCTGCTAAGAGCAATGAACTCATTTTCTGACATTATTTGATAAACTAGCTCTCGAGGACTAGAGTTGGAGACCCGTGATCTAAGTCAAGCTGCGCGCATGAGCATGCCCTGTCTGCAACATGCCTCTTTGCAATTGGTTACTCGATTAAGATTGTTGCCAAGTAGTTGTATTCTGATTGTTTTCCAAAATAAAAGCAAGATTGCTGAGCCATGTATAAAATTCCAACTAGATTATTATTTATTGAGGAATTTCTGCATTTCGGCTGGACTGTGATTGTAAGTAGTTAATGTAAGTTTCTGTTTAATACGAATTTCTCTGTCTGTAGACAGCAACATGTTTGCAACCTTTGCCATATTATTACAAACAGATTGTCAAGTAATTTCCGACTTGACCCCATTAAATCACAAACCGACAGCAGAAAGACTGTCTCGTTCTGTTTTATCACCATTTTCATACATCAGGGTTGCTTGGAAGCAGCCATTTCAAATATGAACAAGATTTCAAGTTCAATGCACACGATCCAACAGTCTCCAACCATGTTTTTTTTTTTTTAAATCTGCCAGTGCCACAAAGTCATTTAACAGCCCGGCTACATCACTGTTCGCCTATTCCTAAGTGCAGGCCCCTAAGTGTATGCCTTGCACTAGGTTACCCAAGAGTATCCAGCCTACTATCCATATTCAAACCATTTGCAGTCATAAAACTGAAACTGTTGATTTAGGACGCCAGATGAGGATACCAGACTCACTTTTATACTTATTTATCTACAACCACACTTAGACATTCTTTTTTGGGTTATCAAAATGTATAACGTGTCTTTGTGAATTATCTGTCAGATTTGAAACGGTATATGGGGTTTTTTTGTATATGATGAAAAAAGAGACCCTGATGTTATAATGACTATCCACAAAATATTAAATAATTGCTTTAATAAAAACATAAGCTATCTATTAACATTAATATTCTTGTAACTTGGAGGTTGGAAAACCAGACGATAATAATTATTAAACCAATTTTACAGGCAGATGGAGGCTGTTTAGTCTTATCCACAGCGTGTGGTGGAATATGGGGGAAACCTCTGGATTTCAGACTGGAGTCTAGGGAAATGGCAAGGTTGTAATCGCTCATCATCAGGCACATGAGAGCAGAGACGTTCCCATGAGACAAGAGCAGAAAAACGCCGCTACTTCAGTCTCTCAAACTTGACGAGTGTCTCAGAGTTTGCTGGGTTCCCACACCCTGCGGCCCCGTGGCTACCCACGCGGTGAGCCCAGGTATGCACGGTATGTCACCTGGCAGCTGAGGAAGCTGTCAGAGACCCGGCCGGAGGCTGGTACACCCCTGCCGAGAAACTTCATTTAAGCACTCAAGGTAAAGTGTGTGAGACTCTGAGAGAAAGGAGCTTTCCAGTCCGAGAAGAAATCTTTTTTATGTAACTGGCTCCCACCCAAAATGTCCAATCAGCCTGGGCTTCAGAACCACACTTTACACCAGTTACTCAAGAATCAAGCTGACAGACTAAGTGAGCACTAAGTGAGCACTCGTCCCATGAGCCTGGCACCCTGTAATACACATGGCGTGAGAACGAGGCCCACGCTGGGGACGGCATTGTCGGTGGATTTCTACTGTATAATTACACTCAATTAGTTTGAGCTGCTCAGTAATAATATCAAACCTCTCCATTTGTCCGCCTGACGATGTGGGAGCCAATCAGATTAGACTGAGCATTTCTTCCCATCCAGCTAAAAAGCCTGCTCCCCTGCTTAGTTTTATGTCTCCATTCTGCATTGTAACAACCAGCTATAATAGGATGAGGGGGGAAGAAGGAGAGGAAATCCAGTCTTGCCTAGCGGACTCCACGCTGGCATGCCATCTAATTCATTTGCACTTAAATTTAGCATAAACCAAACTAATTTGTCTGTTTTGGGGTTTGTTTTGGGACAGTTTTATTGTCTTATTTTCGCCGTTGGGGAATGAGCCAATGAAACAGGCCGATACAACAACATGGCAGCAAATCAGCACGTAAAACACTTTATACGAGGAGGCGGCTTGACAAAAGCCAGGGGGATTTAGCTAAAATCCAAATACTTTGGAGATAAACAGGAAAGCACTACCACATGCGGTTTACTCAATACAACTCACAACTATGTAGCAAGCGTTTAATCAGTAATGTGGAGCACTTGATTATTAACCCTCCCCTGCGGAGTGTTTTCAATTTGGCCTTTTGTTATCAATTATCTCCGAGCATGATTGCACTGCTGCGCACATCATAAATGCTGGCAGGGAAAAGAGTGTGGAAGAGAAAACAGGGACATGCTCTCACCAGTTTAGACATCCTTGGCTATTACTTCACTGTTTTAGGAAATGCATTAGACACTACATTTTAGACAGAAGCACATGAGGGTCTTTTGTTTGGGTACAAGTGAGGAAGAGAATTGGCTTTAAGCAATTTCTGCAGACATGCACTAAAACAAAGCAAAGAAGACAATGATACTGAAGTGCATTTTTGGCAGTGTTGAGCATGTCAGGGGTCAAGTCCATTGTGATGTTCCTGTAAATCTCTTCTCTAATAAGCACCAGTTTGGTAGCGACCTCCTATAGATAGGGTTGGGTTGTAAATAAATTATAATAAATGGAAAAATAAGCACATTTTCAGAAACTAGATGCTACTTGTCAACGCATGTCTTGCAAAAGCTGAGCATTTGGCCCTCACTATCATGTTGATGTGACGAGCTCAGGATGTACCTGACGGAGAACCTGGGGATATTGCACAAACAAAAGCATACCCAGATTTATCTTCTATTTCACGCTAAATAGGACCATGGCTTACAAAATTAAAGGTACACTGTGTAAAATCTCACCAGTAGATGTGACTTGGAGATTGCAGTCAACTTTCTTACCCAACCCAATTCAAGTGCAGAATCCTACCATACAATCACTATTCATCTGTAGTGAGTTTAAGGTGTCAATTCGCTCTTTACCTCAGCCGGGTGTTCACATCTATTTACTTTGGAGGAGGCTGTAAAACTTGTGAAAGGAGTCTGATATGAGTAGATGAGTCAGTGAAGCTCACTTTTCACCGTTGACAGTGAAACGAAGGTGAGTTGCTGAAGATATAATTAACTTTTCTGTTGGTATGTGCTGCTGCTTTTGTCTGTGTTAGCCTCTGTTAGCGGCTGCTAGCCTCTGTTAGCTGCTGTTAGCCTTAGTTAGCAGCTCATTATTATGCATGTTAAAGAGCTCTAACAACATGTTTTATGAAATAGGACTTGAAATGAGCGATTGAGACCACAAACTCACAAGGAACATATGGAAAGGAAGTGAAAAGTAGTGATTTTGTCTTAGATTCCTATACCATCATTCTTCCCCTGCTGAAAATTAGAAATACTACAGGTTTAAAACACTTCAATTCTTAATTTCTATATCCATCTTTTATATGCAATCCCCTACTCCCTCAAGTCCAAACCAGATGGTTTCCCATGAATGTCAAGAGGTTAACCAGTTAAAACTAGGGCTCAATGGTATGAGGTAGTGATTACATACATGTGCTGTTGATTCAATTTGGCCTTTCATCTCAGGCTGAATATACAAGGTCTGTGTTGTTTCCAAAAAACAATTCAACAGTGAGACCAGGTGCACATAGGTGTGAGAGCGGGCAAAGCTCCAAGCAATCTGCCAAGTATTTTCTCTACATTCCCACTTTAGATGAAGTTTGTGTACACTGCTGAGCAGAAGCAATCACCGCTGTGATGACAGCAATTCAGGTGGGGCGCTTTCACCAAAGAATGACTGGAACCAGATCAGGAATAGATTTGCATCGGCTGATAACCTCCAGCACATTTGGAGCTTCCTTTTGAATGAATCCTGTTTAAAGCCAGATTCACAGACTTTAATTGAAGGAACATATCTGTGCTGCACACTTACTAAATATATCCTAAACTCACCTGAACTGTAAAAGTTTTTCATTTGTGTGTTTTTAATTAAGATAAAATGCAACATTAATGGTGTACAACAAGCAGCAACTCCTGGGTGAAGAATGGAAAAATAAAACCAATGCATATGTGCCAAAAGATGCAAAAAAAAAAAAAAAGCGGAGGGGGGCCCTTTAGCCTCGTTTCAAAAGCAAGTCAGTCCTCACAGATTACCACATTAAAATGCTCAGCTTTACAGCAGAAATAATTATGTTTACAGCCTGGTACAAACAGTTTTGTTCTCCATAGGTCATTTGTACATTCATGCAGCTGCACAAGGTGTGAGTTTGCTTATGACTCAACCGTTTAAGTGTTATTATGGTTATACATTAATGGAGGTATGGGCATTTTGAGTGATGGATGTGTAAGCTGCTAGCTGTCTGCTACACATCCCCTCAGCTAATTGAATTAACTGAACAGGACTTTTCAACCTTGTTTGTCGTGTTGGTTTCTTTTAGAGTAAGTTTAATGCAGTTATCTGACAAATAACATAACTGATGTGCAGTTAGTTGTCTTTGCTCGAGCTTTTGTGAGTGTGTTTGCAGTGACTTAACACTAATTCCTCAGTTCACCTTTCCACTAATGATGGTCACATCTGGTTGCTGTACAGCACCCTAAAATGAAACCTTGCACCCCAAAGGATACACAGGTATGAGTCCTGAAACATCATCAAACACAATCTTATTTTCAGCACCTCAATCCTCAGACATGATAATGAACCACACCAGTGTGTTAGACTCCACTGTGTTGGATAGACCTCTGACTGAGGTTCTGTGATGACCTACTTAAAGCTGGCTGGCTGCAGATAGCAGCAGCAGCTCATGGACCGTCCACGGCCGTCGGGCTCACCGTGCACGTCCCAGCATGACGAAGAGAGTCTCCTCCGCAGGCGGGCATCAAATGATAAAAATAAATAGAAGCACAGAATCAACCCAGCAACACAGCTGTTATGTAATTCAAATGTTGCCCCAGTTACTCGCGAGAGCTGCTGCTGCAACTCTGGGCCATCACTGAGCTACATAACCTGATGCAGATTATATAGTCCAACCCAGACTGTTACATGAATAAAATGCTGATAACAATGACTAAGACTCCACTCCCTGCACATGCATTTACAATACATCAAACACAAACATAATCAGAAAGCTCGAGCTCTGGACAGCTTTCAGCAAACAAACTCAGGAACATGAGTACGATGAGGAAACACGGCACATATGTAACTGACATTCAAGCCCTCTGATTGCCAAATTACCCACATTGACAGAAGCTAGGCCATGTAATCCATCCAAGAGGAGCAGACATAAATATTTTACCTGTTCCTCAGCTGACATATGGCATTTTGTCTTCATTTTTGTGTTGCTAGTGTGAACTGAAAAAGCCTTCGGGGGCGTCCCTCAAGTGGAAAATACATTTCATCATCACAGCAGGCCATGAAACTCAAGCTACTTTCTGCATGAAACATGGGTGTAATCTTACATAAAGGGGACAACTAGTGGTCATCTCTCTGGGATTAATCTGCAGTCACACAACCAGCAGAGCCTGATTTTTCAAGTGACACAGAAGGAAAACGAGGGCATGAACGCTCATGCCTGTTGTCTGACGGAATGTCAGAAACCGCCTCTTGTGTTTTCTCAGATGCCTGAAAAAATAAATGTATCGGAGCCTCATATCCTCCCAGGAAAAGGAGTGTTTACAGGACTTAGTGGGTTTATCTGTGCCAGGGCCAGCTGGGCCACAAGGGCCATGGACAACATGTCCCGCATCAAGCACTGGAAGGATAAAGACGCAGGTCGGCCTCGAACTGACTACTTTCGGTCGAACAAAGCCTCATTTAACTAAAGGCATGACGGCACGGTCAATAGCAACGTGCAATATGTGCATATTTGAGTATCGAGCGACATAATAACCTTCTTCTTCAACTTCAAGATTTGCTCCACTTTTCATGGCATGGAATCAAATCTGCTGCAAACTGCCACCAGATCTACACTGGACCTTTACCAAAAATGCTCCAGGCATCTACATGTCCCACTACTAAAGCAACCCAGTGCTCCTTCTGCTCCTGCTGCCCTGAGTAGGAATAAATCATTAGAGAGAGAAGAAAATAGTTGAGTTGGAAAGAAGGAAACCAATAGGAGAAAACAAAGACACAAAGTGAGAGTGAAATTAACAACATACCAAAGGCAGAAAGAAGCCGATATATTTAATAAAAAAAAGGAGAAAGTGGGAAAAGGGAGAGAAAAAAATGCATGCATGGATAGTTGAGTAGACAAATGTGAGCATGTTGAATCATAAAGCCATATCACAAACATGACCCAGATTCAGGCTCACAGTAAATCAGGCCGCTGTGTGTCCAATTTAAGCAATTAAAGCCACAGTGTGTCTCACATCAGCCCGTATCGGCACGTCTGGAAGTTCTCTAAGGATCACACGTTCAGCGAAAAACAGACATCATCCAGTCATCGTGTGCTGTGTCAAAGGAAGTTACATATTCACAAAGCTAAACCGCGGTGAATAAATGATAAACCAGGAAGTGTCTCGCCTTCCTAAGAGGATTTAAGTGTGTCACCACAGTGAATCTTCGACATCCTCAACTCTCAGTTTAAGAAGTAAATTACTGACAGACTCAAAGGTTAATGCCAGAGAAAATCAAGACCGTTTTCTGAGGAGCTACTTTTTCTTAATTGTCTAATTTACATTGTTGTATATCACATTCTTTCAGTCACAGATTTTCCTGCATTTCCTTGATTAGCAACAACGATTCAGTGAGGACAGTGACTGTGGACACCTGGATGTGAAGTGACTGTAAAGGTGCTGCTGGGGTTAAAACACCGACTGTTATGTAACGTCGTGTTAGATGTATTCATGGACAGATAAAAAGTATGGAGGGCCATTTAGTTTAGTTTGGCATAAATATAATTTTTTGAAAAAAGGAATTATTCATCTCATAATTTCATTTCTGTAACTTTTATTAAGGTTTTTTTTTCTATACTTCTACATTTATTCCAGGCTATATTATTTCTTTCAAAGTTTATTCATTTATTTATTTATTTTTAGTTACTTATGCATTTCCCATTTATTTCTATATTCTTACAATATTTTGTTTGTTTAATTCTCAATTTTATTCATTTCTTTATCAATCTATGTACATTTCTCTAATTATTTCTATCAATTTTTTATTTATCACTTATTCCATTCAATTTCTTTTTAAATTCTCCTCTATTTTTTACATTTCTAAATATTTTTCTTTTCTTTTTTATTATTGTCTTAAGTATTAATTTCCATTTTTCTATATTTAGATGCTACTAACAGTGAGCATAAGTGCATAAACACTAAAAGGGTCATTTTAGTCCGTTGCTAGGTGGTTGCTAGGCAACATGTTGACGTTAAAATATATCATACATAAGCCAAATTTTGAGCATATGAATTCGATTTTATTATTGTGAAGTTAAACACAACACTTTTATAAGGTTTTATAGTTGCACAAACACTAATAAAGGGTCATTTTAGCCCATTGGCAGGTGGTTGCTAGGTAACATGACAATGTTACAAAATGTCATACATAAGTCAAGTTTTGCATATATAAATTAGATATAAATTAGATATTACTATCATGAAGTGATGCAACGCTTTTATAAGGTTTTGTAGGTGCCTAAACACCAAAATTTGTAATTTAAGAGTGGCAGGTGGCACACATCACAATATGTGATATAGATAAGAACCTTCAGGGGTCTAGGATGTATTTCACACCTCACTTAACAGGTGAGAACAGTTTGGTTTAATTTAAGTTTGTCTCCAAAGTAACAGACGCATACATAAAGACGTATAAATAAACTTTTCTTTCTTCCAGGGTGTATTTATATTTACTTAAATTCTACTTATTTCTGTTTACACTTTCACCATTTCTTGTCGTCCAAAGAAAAGACTGTAAAACTACAGAAATCGATAGCATGTTCACTGGTTTCTCCTGTACGGACTCTAAGGACTGAGGCTCTCTTGCAGGTCAGGAGTTGGTAAAGAAAGGTCAGCAGAAAGCTATAAAGTCAGGTCAAGTCAATAGAGTGCGTAAACATGTTTCGACTTCTTTAGAGACTGATGGTCTGTAACGCAGGCAACAAACTACAAATTAAACCCCTGACCTGCAGCATAAGCATGCATACGTTATTTAACGGCTTTACAGCGTTTCGGGGTGTGTTTTTTGTTTAGTTGGTTAGTCACATGGACAAACTGCAGCTTTCAACATTTGCCATTTCATTTGCAACAAACGTGTTCTTGATGACTTCATCACTTCCTATATCTTCATGCTATTTTAAGACTCTTTGATTTATTATTTCCTGCGCAGTGACCGTACTGTATGCACCGAAGGGAAGGGGGGCGTAAGCTTCTCTTCTCCCATGCAGACACAACACAGCAGCCAGTTAAAGGCTGCACTTGACATTCCAAAGAGGCTCTTTCGAGCAGATTCACCTTCAGTTAACCCTGAGACAAAACAAGTTTCCACTCCTGTGATTTGCAAGAGCGGCCCGGCATAAAGATAAGCCTGTCAGTCACCGGTGGGCAAAGAGTGTTTCACAAACAGTCATGGCAGACTGTCCTTTCTCACTTCTGTTTGACACGTGGGTGTGTTTATGCACTTGGGGAAAAAAATGCTTAAATCTCGGTGTAGCTTTGACATTCTTGCAAGCTAATTAATCTCAGTCTGTAAAAGGCTTAACATCACATTTTTGTGCTCAACAGTGAATAAAAGAGGGTCATGAATGGGAAAGATTTGAAGACAGGAAATGAAACATTTTTCATTCCCACCAGATTGAATAAACAAAAACGGAGCAGGTATTTACCATGAGCACCGCCAACTGCTTCGTGGGAAATGCAGTCCAAACAAACCACAAGCAATGGTAGCATGGTCCCAAAAGCAATACCCACACAAAACTCACTCACAAAGGTTTAACAGTGCGATTAAAGGAAAAAGCAGCCACTGCTTTGAAAATTGAGATATCAGCAAAAAATATTTATTTCATGTGAATTTCCACTATAATCTTAGGCATTAGCCAATAAATACTGTCCACTTCCTGACCGAGTTAATAGTCTAACAAAATAACACACTGACGGTGTTTAGGAATGACTTACCAGTATGTTGCTGTCAAGAGACAATCTCTTTAACTGTTCTCTCCTCTCCAGCTGTCTGTTCATGCTTCCGCTGCCCTGCAGTGATCCATACACCTGGACAGTCCTTCAGGGAGGGGAAAGGGGCGGAGTGGAGGACAAAAGGACAGTGAAAAAGTCAACAAGGAAAACCTCATATCAGGTGGGTCGTATTTCCGCTGTTACGAGGGCTTTCACCTTTTACAGTGAGATCAAAGTCCAAGTTAGGAGCTGCACAGTCCAGTCACACACTATCCCTTCCGCCTTATTTGTGTAACGCTTCATTCGGTCTCTGTTGCCGTACTTTCAGCCAAAAGCTGACAGGACACTGGGATCACAGTGTTCCTGTTAGCCGTGTCTTACCGCTTGCTCTCGGCGTCACCCAGGCATCCCACCCTCTAACCCAACCCCAAACCCCAATCTACAGCTCTTTGTTTTTCTAGGCCTCTCCAAACAGCGCTGGGAACCAGTCCGACCTGGCCTGACTGAGGCCACAGCAGAAGATAAACACTTCACTTCACGCATACTACTCCTTTACAAAGAACTACGGTTTTACACTCACTGCGGTGGTGTACAGAGTAAGTATAGCACTTCCTCATTGCTGAGCATGTGGTCAAAGGTCAGCTGTTGGATGCCTCGGGGTCAGAGACAATGTCAGTGCAACTCAACTTGCTCTAATGTTATGTAGTTAAGGCAAAGGTTGAAATTAAACTAAAGAATACAGGTAATTATGTGGATTGCATTTCATGTAAAAAAAAATGGTTAGCATTAAATGTGGCTATGACGCACTTTCCTTATTAGTTATTAGTCTGCAGTGATAGATCTAAATCTCATTTAGATCTAGATCTACAGTCTCATTTATTTCAAAAAAAAAAAAAACCCTCTTAGCCATCTGTCTCACAGGCCTAAACACCAGTTGGCAACCCCCCAGCAAAATATAATCACTTAAGAAAAATGTGTGTTCTTCAACCGGTTGGTGACTAGTTACTGGAGGTAGCTTTTGCTAGCTGAAATCGGTCCCAAAGAGGGTGTTGCAGCAAAAACCTTGTGATTGCTTTAATTGCAAACTGATTTTCAAGGTTACCCATAGTTTGCATGAATGACACCAACTTGTCTTTAAATGCTCACCATTTACTTGCCAAGCATTGGCAAAACTATGATAAGTGTATTTGCAGACAAGTTAGTTTCTTACATACAATCTAGAGGCAATTGCAAGAACCTACTAATTAACTGTATTGATTATATTAATTCTACTATTAAAGATTAGGCTTTATCACTACCTATTAGCTAATAAGGAAAGTATTTGCTGAGGCCATAAATAATGTGAGAAGTAGGGTTGTTTTCTCATAGACCTTTATGCAACATGACTTCTTTTTCCAGCCAGGAGTTGCCCCCTGCTGCCCATTAGGAAAATTGGAATTTAAAGTTGCATCCTAGTTTCAGGTTGCATTCATCTTTCCTATGCCCACAGTGACTGCAACTCTGATATGGTTTAGATAATTTAGCATTTAATAAGGTTTACAATTACTGACCAAATCAGCTACAGGGGGTTTTGGGGGAAGCCCTGTGTACCTCTTTGTGACCAGTTTCATGCCAGCAATCTACAGCAACCACTCACCTACTGGTTAGGAAATTCACATTTTTCCATCGCAAACAGAGGTCGCCAAATGACTGAGGCCTTGTAATATGGCCACCCTGTGTTAAACAAGCTGCTTTCCAATTCTGTGAGCATGCAGTGTCCTTGGTTTTCAATCAAATAGCTGATAGCTAAAAGGTTCAACTCAAAACCTCAGAAGTAGCTGAAAAGTGGTGACACAATTGTTAAGTCTACCTTTTACATGGTGGATTTGGTTTAGATCATAGTTAATATCATACTTGAGAAGTTCAGAATAGGCAGAACTTGGAAAAGGCATTTATGAAATTTATAAGGTAAATCTACAGTCCTGCTCTGTATCACGATTTACTAGGTTCAGAATTTAGGTGATATGTGCTTACCCTCCTCACAAACCTACTTATGCAACAAACAAACCCTTTTGCATCCACTGCAGGCGCTATCCGTTACACCCTGTCTAAAGCTTCAGCAGCATGACTGCACTTGTCAAATATGCCCACACATCAACATGACATGTTCCATCCACTGCCAATCTGTTAACTCCAAACTTATCGACATGAAACATCAGGATCAGCCGCTGCCTTTTCATCCAGATCTGATCTTGTATTTTGAAACATGATACTGTCCCTTTCTGCCCTATTTCTGAACAGCCCTGGGCAATCAAGTGTAGCGGGAATTTCTCTAATCAGCAAACAGGATGTGAAATGCTCTGTCTTTAATGACACAGAAACATCAGACTCCTGACCGTCTCACTTACTCTGGCTTTGTGATGACTAATTGTGAAAGTGTTTTGCAACAGATGAAATGATGGTCTATGTTTAGCATGCATTTTAGTTTGGTCTATTTTCTCCTGGAGATTAGGAGAGGAAGTAAATCTTCCCTTGGATTCAGAGATAGGGGGTTATAGGAAATTGAGAGTAAATGATTAAAATGGATTACAGCACAGCGCTTGATTACACAGACCCAACAAAGAAACCATGGATGGCATTTTCCTTTGGTGTACATTGTGAGGGATGAGGCAGCGGATCGATGGGAAGTGATTAAGATGAAACAAACACCTTACAAGCCACATATCAGGGACATTGAGATAAAGGCAGGCAATAAAACACTGGAACACTGCTACCTTTGACATTTGAACAAACCGAATGATGTTTTGTCTTAGTGCTGTCAGTTGCCCTTAGTACCAGGTAACATTCAGTAACAGCTCAGAGAACAAAATGGATCAAAAAAGCATATTTAACACTGATAACAAGAGAAGTGGAACATTGT